AAAGTCATTCGTTATCTGACATATTCTGGAGTACGAACAGCTTATGATGCGTATGGGCAGCATATAAAGAGCATCAGCTCCTACAACATCATCAAAGTTGCTCTAGCGAAGTGAACGATGCGAGATGCACCTGGCTCTGCATATGCTCAAACACCATGGAGCTATTCCTGTTTAAATTCCCCTCCCATCTGCTATAGGCAACCAGGAACAAGGAGGCGGTACAGTACATCTTGCGTTAAATCTAGACACGGAAGATGCTATAAGTTATAATGTCATCGTATTTCCAAGCATGTTTGCTAAAAAATGAACCACATAGTATCTTACGCTAACATACTAACCAGTTCTGCATTATCATCTGGAAAAAACAAACTCTATTCTGTGATTAGCATTTACCTGTGGATAGGAACATTTGTCAAGCAACGCTGAGCCGGCTAATGTTGCAATCGTTTCTACGCTGTCGAAGTCTTCGAGCATGTCGCTGATGGTGATTACTTCGTCTTCCATTTTCTAAGTTTAAATTTTTTAGCTAAGCAAAATAATTCGAAAAGCAAGCAACGCGAATGCTAAATGAACAGAGAATAATTTGTACGAAAAATTTATTGCACAAAATACAGTACAATAGCCATACTGGCTGTAAGATTCTCTCACCAACGCTTTCGCCTAAGTGGGCGTAACTTCGATGGATCATAGCAGACAATGATTGCTACGGAAAAAGTCATCAACCCTGATTAAGAGCTATCATTTACTTTCCAGGACCCGCAGCATTATAACCAAAGTATGAAGCCAATAATTAGTTAAGATTATAAATCACGAACAACAATACAAAAAATATTTCAACAGTAGATACAAGACAAGAAGTACGAAAATTTAAAAGTTTAACTCGTCTTAACTAATGTCATAGCTATTTTCAGCTCGAGTATGAATCTAAGAACTGAAATAACTTATTTCAGCTTCATCCGCCCAATTTTGTCTCCATGTTTCTGAGATTCCCTTCAAGAAAATCCGAGGCACACCCTCAAGCCCAAATTTCTCACCGAGGATCTAGAGTAGCGAGCAACACACGGGTAAATGATTATGTAAGCTGCTTGCAGCTGCAACTACGTGCACCTATCATGTTAACTTATAAACATACAATGTTATAGCCTCGTCACATCCAGTAAACAAAAACGAATAACAGGCATCGACAACACAACAGCTAGCTATACTTCACTCTGCTCTCAAAACGACCTACTTTATTAGTAAAAGAAGTAGCTGTTGTACATTTTTCCTTAGCTCTGCAGAGAAAGCAGTAAATATCTTAAACAGTTGCAAAGGGTACATAATATGTTCGAAATGCTCAGCATAAACATCTAAAACTACTTCTCGGGTGGTTTACGCTATC